AAACACCAAAATCAAGACTCAGTACATGCAAATGAACTTCACCCAGGGTGAGGGGTTTTCCCAGCAGACAATGGATCACTTACATAGCCTTCCACCCTGAGGCCTTGCCATTCAACAACAGAACAATACACAGATTAACATGCAAATCACCTTCTCTCAACCAAGGGTCACACAGTATATACACATACCCCACTCACTTCCATGCCACCATTCTCTGAAGATGCCAGCCACAGATGCAGGCGAAACATCAGGAATAAACTCTTCTAGAACATGGCCTCACAGCCTGAAAAACCCTCAAAAACCCATGGATGCCAGCTGTAAAAGCCTTTGACTTCACAGTTAAAAATATGTTTTACAAGCTACTTTTAACTGCATACCATATATCCAAATTTTATCAGTTTTGCTTGGTATCAGAAATTATTTTGAATATTGATTTATCACACATTAAGACTTTTCCAATATCCAATGTTCTCTGGGCAGTAAATAAATATACTAAAAAAGAGAGATTATACAATCACAATGAAAAAGCACAAGATAATATTATGTAGGAATTAGAACAGCTTGCTATTGTGATATATGAAAGCTGAACTATTTTTTTAAAGACATATTAAAATGCCTGCTAATACATGATCTACGTTCAGCTGAGTACACAGATCTCAATGGTATTTTAGGTAACCCTAGAAATTGTACTGTAGTTAAGCTTGGGTGCCCTTGCCCATTTAAGTATTTAATTTATACCCCATAGTTTTCCCTATCAGGGACTTTTAAATGTAAAATGAGTGTGATGTAAACCCTTGTAAATCCTAAAGTCATATTCCTAGTCCTATTTTATTAGGTTTTAGACATCAGGTAAAACAATTGTTCCCAAATTTTCAGCAAACTGCAGTTTTTATGATCTTAGTATTTATGTGCTTTTTTGCTGATTGTTTATTTTACTGATGATAATTTTGAAGTTGGCATGTTCTTACTCCTTTTTAAATTTTATTTCTGTAATCATTTTAAAGCAATTGGTTTAAATTTTTGTGTTACGTATCCAGGCAGTTGTTTTTGGGGGAGGTACAACAGAAAAATTTGAAATAAAACATAATTAGTGATCTCAGCTTATCCATCCAATAAAAAAATAGTTTTCAAATTTCTTACTTGACAGGCAAAGGAAATGTCATGGAGTCATGGTGTTCCTTAGCTCTCTAGACATGGGCATATCTAGATTACAGACTTAAATTAGTTTGACAGTAATTTTCTAACCTCAGAATAAGAAATGTGGGAGAGGCTGCTCTGTGGCTTGCCATCTCCTTAATTAATAGAGCAATATACTAATAAAGTTGGATGAAGAACCAATAGCCTATATCAGATTGAAGAGAACACATCCATTCACAGGTGACAGTGGAAACAAATTAAAATGAAATGCAAATGTAAATTTGCCTTCCTGCACAGTCATCCATTCATTA